CACATACATACACTGTACGTTTACCCCCTTCACATATATGGATGCACTTCACATACATATACACATATACTCATACTCAGATACCTATACATGTACATACCCCCTCACACTCACACACAAACATACACTGCACACTTATCCCATACACACATACATACAAATACCTCACATACATATTCACACACTCAGATATCCATACATGCACATACCCCTGCATATTCACATACACATTTACTACACACTTACCCCCCATACGTAGACACCTCACACTCACACACACATACACTGCACGCTTACTCCCCATACATAGACACCTCACACTCACACACACATACACTGCACACTTATCCCCCCATACAGACACCTCACACTCACACACACACACACATACACACTGCACACATACATAGACACCTCACACTCACACATACACTGCACACTTACCGCCCATACATAGACACCTCACACTCACACATACATACACTGCACACTTACTCCCCATACATAGACACCTCACACCCCCCATACATAGACACCTCACACGCACACACACATACATTGCACACTTACTCCCCATATATAGACACCTCACACTTACATACACATACACTGCACACCCCCCATACATAGACACCTCACACTCACACACACATACACTGCACACTTACCCCCCATACATAGACACCTCACATACACACTCAGATAGTCATACCCTTGCACATGTCCCCTCCCTCTTGACCCAGGGTGGTAGCACAGGCCTTCCCCTGGGCCTGCTCCCCACGGACCCCCATGTCTCCCCAGCTCTGTGGGCGAGGTGCAGTGGGAAGCAGAGTTCTTCACCCTTCAGGACAATAATAACAAGCTGGTGGCCGCCCTCCGTGAGGCCAATACCAATGTGGAACGGTGGAAAGGGCAGCTGGAGGCTTATCAGGAGGAGACCGAGCGGCTTAGGCTTCGGGTAAGCAAGGGTGGAGCGTGCAGGGGCTGGTTCCAAGAGAAAGCACCTAACGCAGGGCCTTTGCCACGACATGTCGATGTCCGGGAGAAGATGTGTGCTTCCTCCCGTGGCACTTCTCTGGTTCCTGGGACCATCCCTGTCTAGGGTCTTGGGGCCTGCTACCACCTCTCCTCTCCAGGGGCTGGCAAGGTTAACTGTGCCCCAGGGGGCACCTTCTGTACTCCCAAGGACAGGCTCTCAACTTGACTCTACCCGGGGCAGCCTGTCTCCTCTGCTGCCCACTCCCTAGCAACTTAGCTGAATTTGCCCCAGGCCTAAGAATTGTGAGTGTTGCCCTGCTGTGGACCCCCACAAGCCAGGGAAGCCCCTGACCTCAGGGAGCTTCTTATCTGAGATAGAACAAAAATAGGCAGATGTGTGCAGGAGTGTAGTGGGTGGAAGGGGAGTAGGCCGGACCCCAGCCCCCTCTGCCTTGCAGGTAGCTGAGCTCGAGGCCCAGGGGCCCTCAGAGACACCAGGAGAGAGCGGGAAGGATGGGCTGAGCCAGAGGCTGGAGGAGTTGGAGGTGCTGATTAAGACAAAGGATGAGGTGCGTGTGTCTGGAAAAGGAGGGGTGTAGAGCGGTGGGGATGGGCCTGTGACCTCTCCCTTTCCCATCTTCACTTTCCCAGCCATTGAGTCTTATTTTGACCCTACCGGTGAGATAGGCAGTGTATGTTATTAGTATTATTCCCATTTTGAAGAGGGGGAGCCTGAGGCCCAAAGGGGAAACCAGGTGCAGGCAGTCACACAGTCAGCCTGGGTGGAGCTCCCAGGCCAGGGAGTTTTCCTCTGGCATCGGTCCTACTGCTTCTCTAATCCCCTAACTTCTTCATCCCTGACCTTTGACCCTTGCACCAGACACCTGACCCTCAACCCTGACTCCCAAACCCCGCCCCTCCCACTCTTAGGAGATCCAGATGTTGAAGAGCCAAAAGGGCAGCCATCGGGAAGCAGAGACTGAACGGGAACGGGAAGAGGCCCTCCAGAAACTTCAGGTGAGCCGGGGGCAGGGCCTGAGAGCCTGGGGGCTCCCTAACAGTGCCCGCCTCCCGTGGCACTTATTACTGATGCACATGCAGACCTGGCAGACCTGGAAAGATGCCAAAGGTCAGCTAGTCCAATCTGCCCATTGTACACATGGGAAAACCGAGACCCGGGGGGGGTTAAAGAATTCTGTGATCCCAGATCTGGAGCTGGAAGGTGCCTCTGAGGCCATCTTCTCCCTAACTCCCATTTTATAGGGGAAACTGAGGCCCCAAGTGATTAGTCCTAAGTCACACAGGCAGTAAATGTCCGAGGTTAGATTTGAACTGAGGTCTTCAGTGCTTTTTCTACGGGACCACAGTGTGAGTAGAAATCAATCAGAAATACTGAAGGAGTAGGGGGCCTTTAGAGTGAGGGGAGAGGTGGCTGGAAGGGAGACTTTGAGAGGGGAGGGCACCTGCTCAAGGTCCCAGAGGGAGTTTGTGACAGAAGGCAGGATTTGACCCCAGGTCTGACTCCCAGACCAGAGAGATGTTTTCCTAGAGAAACACTGCACAGCAAGGGTGGGAGGTTGGTAGGTGTGAGGAAGACTCCATGTGCCAGCATGTGCCCACCCTGTGACTTGAGCTTCCAGGCTCCCCTGGACTCCGTGTTGGGGGGTGGGGAGCCCCTCACGCCTCCTGGAGGCAGTGATGCCAACGTCCCTCCACCCCACTCCCCCAGGAGCTGGAGAGCCGGTACTCGGAGATGGAGCGGCAGCTCCAGGGTGCCCAGCGCAGCCTGGAGGAGGCCCGGGGGGAACGGGAGCGCGCCCGGGCCGAGGTGCTCAGGGCCACCGAGCTCCTGGACCTCAAGATCTGCGAGCTGAGCGAGCTGCGCCAGGGCCTGGCCCGGCTGGCCGACGGTGCCCCGTGACCGGCTGTGGGATGGGGCAGCTGGGCCAAGGGTGGGAGAGCCTGGACGCTTTCCTAAGCCTCCAGACCTGGCCAAGATGGGCTCTGGGGTGGGTAATGGGGAATGGCTTTTGTAGGGGGGTGGGACATTTGCACTTCTTTTTCCAGTAGTTTTATATTTAAAGCAATCCTTCCCTCAGCCCCTCCAGCTCGTGGTGGGGAGACTGGCTCAGAACTCCAACCCTGGCCAGCCAGGCTTGAGCGCCTTTAGGCATCTGAGTCATGGGAGGAGAGAGACCAGAGACTGAAGCTCGGCTCTGACTCAGACCCTCAGGCTGGGACATGTCCAGATGGGCTGGGGTTGGGGGGTGGGGGGTGGGCGGCCACCCTACTAGGACTGGAGAACTCCTCAGAGCTTTGGCCCCTCCCAGGAAGGGAAGAAGGGCAGGAACGTAGTTCGTTCAACATCTTCCTCTGGCCCTGAATGCTGTAGAAATGGTCATTCCCCTAAAGCTGGCATGAAGGGGATGCCCCAGGCTGGGATAGTAAATGCTCCCAAGGAGGGGGCAGGCCCCTAATTCCAGCTCCTCTCCCCATTAGTTAGGGTGGGCTGCGTGGAGGGACCCGAGCAGGACTATTGCTGGGAGGGGCAGCTGGCTTCCTCTTCCAGAACACGTGGAAGGGGCAGGGGTGGGGGGAGGTGCCAGGGAGGACAGTTGTGGTGGGGGAGGGTTCATTTGTGAGATTTCAGATTTGTAGGTTTTTTAGTATCTGGGCAATGTCTGTCCAGGGAAATTAAATTTCTAAACTTACTGTGCCTCTGTGCCTGCTGCTTATTCAATTCACTATTTATTCGCCCAGTGGAAGCGTATTGTTCGGCACACTTTGAAGAGAAGGGGTCTGGGGGCTGGTCCAGCCCCTCCCACAAAGGAGAGAGCCAGTGTTCTCAGTGCGCCCTGGGTAGGACCGTACACATCCTGGGCAAAGACCAAACTCCCTCCTCGATCACCCCCCCAAATCAGGATTAGAGACCTAGAGGCCCAGAAACAGAGACTGGAAGAACTCATTCAATGCAGACCGTCTAGTCCATGGGTTCTTAACCTTAGGTCCACGAACATAGGAAAAATTACATCTTTATTTCGAAATAATGGATTTTCTTTGTAATTTTTTCTGCATTTAAAACCATTATTTGAGAAGGGTTTTGCAGGTCAGATCACCGCAGCAGGTTAAGAGCCCTCTCTAGTCCAAGCCCCTCAGTATCCTTTCGACACGTTTTCTGGGTGCCTTTACTTTTGACCTCCCTCACAAGAGTTAAGAAGACTGCTGAGGTTGACGGAATCTTCCATTGGAGACGGCCTCCGCCCTGCTGCTGAGGGAAGAGAGGCGTTTTTCGTCCCCTCATCTCCAGGAGCAGTACTGCTTTTGACTCTTTGGCCCTTAGCTTCCCGACACAGCTGCCTCATTCAGACTACTGTAGTCACTGCTTATATCATACTTTGATTGTTTTGTTGATTCCTTTGTTCAGATCATCCCATGCTTCTCCATTCCTGTCATTTCTGCAAATAATGTTCCATTCCAGCCACACAGTGAGCTGGGGAGGGGAGGGGGAAGGGAAGTGGTTATTAGAGCACTGTGCCCGGAGTCATGAAAACCCAGGTTTGAATTTGACCTCAGACACAGACTAGCTGTGCGGCCCTGGGCAAGTCTCTTCACTGCTGCCTCAGTTTCCTCAACTGTGAAATGGGGATACAACAGCTCCTACTTCGCAAGATTGTTGTGAGGATCTGATGAGATAATAATTGTAAAGCGCTTAGCACGGGGCCTATGATGATGGCGGTTTGTCCAGCCATCCCCCAGGCGCTCGGCATCCACTCCGTCGGGTCTTTTATGCACTACACCTTTGTTTCTGTCTTTGGCTTCCCTGGGGAATAAGTGCTGGAACAGGAGCATTCATTTTCCAGTGGGGGAAACTAAGGCCTGGAGAAAAGAGACTTGCCCATGGTTCCACAGGGATAAACTGGACTCGAATCGGTGCCTTTCACCTCCTAGTCTGGGCTTCTCCGTTTTGCCCCATCCTCCCTCCTGCCCCCCTGCAGTGCCGGGTAGTACATGTACAAGTCGTACACTGTAGAACTCAATCCTTTTTATTGTAAGTTGGTCAGAGGGACATCTGTGGCTGCAGCCAGGTACCCTCTAGCTCTGGCCCCATCCCAACACTGTGCAAAGGGTGGGGGCCAGGGTGCTGGTCCCAGATGTTTGTTCTGGGCAGGGGCAGGGGCTGAGACTCAGGCCTCACTTCTTCCCCTTGGCTCTCAGTAGCAGCTGCTGCTGCTGCTGCTTCTGCTGCCTCTGCTTCTGTTTCTGCTTCTGCTTCTGTTTCTGCTTCTGTTGCTTCTGCTTCTGCTTCTGCTGCTGCTGCTGCTGCTGCTGCTGCTGCTCCTGCTGCTGCTTCTTCCGCTTCTGCCGTTTCCTCTTCAGTTTCAAGGCCGCCCGCCTCTGCAATGTCTGCATCACACGCTCCTTGAACTGCTTATTCTTCTGCCGGATCTTGGCCAGCTCTGCCTTCCTCTTGGCCTCCAGGTCTGGGTCCTGCAGAGTCAGGTCACATGCCAGCTTGCTCCAATTCTGGCCCCGACCCGGACCCAGCCCCAACCCTAGCCCCTGGGCCTCACGGGTGCCTACCTTCCCTTCTAGGATCAACTGTTTCCTTTTATTGATCTCCTTCTTCTCATCAAAGTCTGTGGCCTCCAGTTTCTAGGGGGAGTTGAAGGAAACATTAGAAGGGCCAGGAGAGGGGCCAAGGAGACACCCTGGAGAATCATGAACTCCTCTATGTATCCTTGGAGTATATCGAGGCAGCATTAAAAGCACCAAAAGCCAGGGCTAGGAGAGACTTCAGAAAACATCTAGTCTCCATCTAATCTCATTTTATAAATGAAGAAATGGAGGCCCCACAGGTGCTATGCCAGGCCACCCAGCCAGTAAAGGGCAGGCCCAGGAGCTGAGCCTACCCAGGTGACCTGCTCACCACCAGGCCCCAGCAGAGGCCTCTTCACACCTGTCGAGGCAGCTCCGGAAGGGCTTCCCGCTCTGAGCAGAGGCAGAGTCAGCTCCCTCGAAGTCTTTCCAGCCCCACGAGGATGACGGGAGCTGCCCCAGCCCACCCGCCCCTCTCCTGCCAGGCTTCTGGGCACACTCACAATCTCACACTCTCTTCGGACCACATTGACCTGGGTGAGGATTTTGAGGACCTTGGCCTCCTCCACACTGAAGTCGTCCAACTTCTTCTCTGCAGGGGGCAGAGAACAAGGGGAGGGTCAGGGGCAGTGAGAGTGCTCAGCTGAGAAGCCCTGGCTCTTCCCAGGAGAAGGAAGCTGGAGCCCTCAGGGGTGTCAGACCCAAGCAGATACAGGGCATTTACTCACTGATCTCTTCCTCAATGGCATGTAGCAGGTGTATATCATACTGAGTCACGAGTGTGATGGCGATGCCGTGACGCCCTGAGAGGAGGTCAAAAGGAGTCACCAAATGGGGACAGGTGGGCCCTTGTGCTCCCTGCCTTTCCCAGCCCAGGAATCCAAGGGGCTTTTTTCTCTCCCCTTCTGGCACCTGCAGGGCTCTCTAGGTTTGTTGGGGGCCACTGCTCACCCTGGCCCGAGGCCCTTTTGTACAGTAGACAGAGGCCTGGCTGGCTGGGGCTGAGGGATTCCAAAGAGATCCAGCCCCACACACCCCACCCTGGGGTCTCCATCCTCAGACCCTGCTTTGCTCACCTGCTCGGGCAGTCCGCCCTACACGATGGATGTAGATCTTAGGGAGGCCTGGCGTATTATGGTTAATGACAACCTGCACTGTGGGAATATCCAAGCCTCTGGGAATGAGAACAGGGAAGGCCACAGCATGGCAAGAACCTTGTTATCACCAGAATAAATACCTCTTTTCTAAATCAACAGCCTCTTTTCGAACACTTTACTCCCTTTTCAAAGCACCTTTCTATCCAATAACTCATTTGATAACGGATAGAAGCCCCAATAACTCAACAGTTTTGTAAAGGAGGATTATCCCCATTTGATGGATGAATAAATTGAGGCCCAGAAAGAGGTGCTCACTTGGCCAAGGTCACAGGAGTTAGTGACTAGGTCAGTACTAGAAATCAAGGCCCCAAGTTCAAATCTGGTCTCAGACACTTGACACTTACTAGCTGTGTGACCTTGAGCAAGTCACTTAACCCCAATTGCCTCAGGGGAAAAAAAAAAATCAAGGCTCCACCTGGAGCTTTTTCCAACACCTTCCTACTGCCCCTGGACCAGGTCTCCCAACCCAGCTCTCCCTGGTGGCCTTGAGTGTCTGTGTGTTGGGAAGAGGCCAAGAAGGCAAGGCTGGAACCCTAGGCACACTGTTAGCCTGGGGGCTTTTCCCTCTTACCGGGATGCCACATCTGTTGCAATCAAGATCCGGTAAACACTAGACTTGAATTTGGCCAAAGCCGCAAAACGAGCTTTCTGTTAGGGAGAAAGAGATGCCTCATAGAGCCTTACTGCCCGTCTCTGGACCAGACTCCACCACCCACCAAGAGTGCGGTTTGAAAAGGGTTTGGGGAGAGCATCTTTCTGGCCCAGGCACATAGGCCCTGATGATAGGGAGCACAGTCTCCTAGGGCACCACGGGCCAGGAAGAAGTCGGGCCCAGAAGCACCAACAACTTGCCTGTTTCATCATGGAATGGAGAGCTACAGAAGGGAAGTTGAATTTCCTCAGCATCATGTTCAATACCTGACAGCTCCTTCAAGAGAAAAAAACAGCTTTCTGAAGGCACCCTGGAGTCTCAGTGACAGGGTCAACTGTTAAAGGACATGGTACAGTAAGGGGGGAAGAGCCAAAGCCCCACCTCTGCTCCTGCCTTGCCAATTCCCCATCACAGAAAGTGTTAGGCAGCCTTTTATCAGGAAGGCTGCACACAAAGCCATGGGGAGGTCAGGTGTGGCCTATACGACCTCCCCACTTACTTGCATGTGTTGGTGAAGATGATGATGGACCAGTCTTCATGTTCATCATGAAAGGTCTGGATCAGCTGGACAAGATAGGCATCCTTTACCTTCTCAGGCACCAGCAAGTAGCGCTGGTCCAGCTGCTCCACGGTGCGGACCCTGAGGGTGGTGAAGGGCAAGGCTGACGCTCAGGGGCCTGGCTCCCCTCTAGTGTGATGGAGCATAGGGAGGGCACTTGGAAAAGAAGCTGCTCTAGGAAGGCACAGGCTCCCTCATTCACCCAGATTCTCCTGGCCTAGGTGTGGACACCTTTTCCTGCCTCTATTACCGTCACACATCAGGGCTGGAGCCCAGAACCCAGTGTCCCGCCTCCCAGTCCACAATTCCTTCCATTTTACCACCCTCCCTCCTTTTCTTTCCAAGCAGGAGCTGAAGGGAGGTGAGAGAGAAGCAGTTACGACTAGGCCAGATCTGGTACATGGCCCTTCAGAGCAACTGAAAGGGGGAATCAGGCCAGGAAATAGGTGAGGAGCAGGTCCCTTTCAGCCTGGGGGCATTTCTTTACAGGGTGTGTCACTCACTCAGCCTGGGCCTCCCAGAAGAAGGGCTTATTAGAAGCGATTCCCCGAAGAACCTTTAACGTTTCAGTGAGGGTGGCGCTAAAGAGGAGTGTCTGTCGCCGGGCTGGTGCCGCATCAAAGATCACCTCCAAGTCTTGGGTGAAGTCGGTGCAGCCCTGTTCCAGCAGCCGGTCAGCCTCGTCCATCACCTGGCAACAGATGGGCTGTGATTACGGCAGCTCAACCTTCTACGGGGCCTTGGGGCTTGTGCAGGGTTTTCCTTGGAATAGGCCTATGTGGTTTTGGGAGATCATGGGCTCCACTGACAGAGCAGGAAGTACAGGGGCAGAGAGGTCCAGTGACCCAGCACATAAGGAGAAGAGCCAGGTTTGGTGTCTGGATCCCGAGACTCTCAACCCTCTTGGAGGCAGGAGGTCACCTAAGCCAGCTCCTGGGTCTGGTGGAAGGAGGGAAGGCCTGCCACAGAGACTCAGCAGAAAGGCTAAAAGGGCTGGAAAAAGATGAAAAGGGAACCCCAGGGGCTTGCAAAGGGAATGTGCATTGAGGTTGAGTTCCCCATCCTGGAGGTAATAGATGACAGTTTCTCAAAGGCCTGATGGGAAGCCCCTGTCTCATGACTAGAGACTCCCAGAGATCCCAGACTAGGAAGAGTGGGGAAGGTTGAGGGAGATAGGACTGGGCTCACCAGAAACCGGATCTTCTTGATGCTAAAGGTGCTGGAGCTTCGGAGGTGATCGGCCAAGCGGCCTGGTGTCGCGATGACTACGTGGGGCTTACGGGATAGTTCCAAAGCTTGGGCCACCATATCTGTAGATATCCGAAGAAGAAAGGGAAAGCAAGAAAGTAACTATCAGGACCCACAGAGGCCTCTTCCCCAAGGCAGTACTCTCTGTTATCATAACTTGAGAGTTTCTCAGGGAATAGCAGGGCCCAGGACTCACATACCCATTCCTCCAACGATGATACAGTCCTTCAGACCCAATGGCTTCCCAAGGACACGGAACTGCTCAGCAATTTGATAGGCCAGTTCCCTGTAAGACAGAACCCCACCACCACATTACACCTAAACAGTATTTTGGAAACTATAACTCTGTTATCTCATTTAATCCTGAAAATACTCTCTGAAGTCAATACTACAAATATTCTTATTTCTACTTTACAGATGAGGAAACTGAGGGCAAAGACTTTCTTTTTCATATTTGTATCCCTAGTCCTTAGCACAGTGCCTGGCACATAGTACACAGAAATTTAATAAATGTTTAGTGCCTGACTGACTGAAAGAGAATTAAATGACTTGTCCTTCATGGTCACACAGCTCGTGCCAAGGAAGAAAATAGGCTGAACCTAGATCTTCCTAATTCCAAGTCCATTATATCAACCACAGCCTCTCGTGTTTACTGGGTGCCAAGCCCATGAACATTTGCTTGAATCCTATTATGTGCACAAGCCTATCTTAAGTAACACAGAGTCACAGAGACAGAAGGACCCTAAGAGGGAATCCTCTCCACAACCTGCTCCACATATGATCCAAGAGTAACTTCCACCCGGTGCTCTTAGCCGTGCTCTCGGGAGCCAAGCAAAGTAAGTCCAGTCCTTGGTTCAGGGGCAGGCAACCACTTGAGGCCAGTTAGCATGTCTTCTCTTGTCCATGCTAAATCGGCTTCTTCAGCCAATCTGGACACGGCACGAACCAGAGATCCTTCTCCATCCTGGTCGCCCAGCACAAGAGCCTCAGCTTATTCACGTCCTTCCTACGACACAGCACCTCCCATGGGTCAGTTCACAATCCACTCAAACCCCAGTCCTTTCTCAGGTGAACTGCTATTCCCAATTTTGTAGCTGTGAGGTTGATTCTTTATTGTAAGTGTAGGAATCCACACTTATCATCCCTGTCAAATTTCATCTGATCAGCTTCTGCCTAATGATCTAGACTGTCAAGGTCTATGTGAAGCCACCCTCCAGCCCTATGTTCTCCTCAAATCTGAGAAGGACACTTTCTGTGCCTTTAGTAACCAAGAACACCTTAAGTAGCAGAGAGCCAAGAAAGGATCCTTGAGACACAGGATAAAGTTGCTTAAAGACCCCAAAGTACAAGATGTGGCATACCCCAGGCTTCCCCAGGTAAGCCTGGCTCTGCATGCACAGTGGAACCGAATACAAGGGACCTTAAAGATTACCTTCTCCAACCCCTCATTCTAGAGGCAGCAACTGACAGAGCACCAGAGAGTTGGTCGAAAATATGTAAGTGGTTAGAGGCAAAACTGGGTCTGTTATTCTACAGGAGAAAATTATTTTGTAGGTATACCTAAAATTAATACTATGATACAGAACACCTAAATGTCTATTATTTCTATTGATTTCATCCAGTTCTTCCAGGGTTCCACTGTTGAACATATATCTTACATAACGTGTGTGTGTGTGTGTGTGTGTATGTGTGTGTACATATATGCTTTTATACTTATTCATCCTAAGGGCAAAGAACTTTCCTATTTTATTTTTCTGATACTACTACTATTAATTATCACTAACATACAGTGCTTTCTGCATTTTATCCTGGTAGGGCAGAGTCTTTATCTTCAGATCAACAAGCTACATTTTCATTTTTCCTCTGGCCCTGTACTACCTTCAGCACAGAGGGGTCCTAGAGGAAGCACCCTGTACCCCACCATGTCACTTTTCTGGTGCTCTATCAGGCTGAAAAGATGAAACTTCACAGGTGTGTCAAAGTAAAGTCTGGGCTTAAAAAAAAGCAACTAGGCCCACAGAGAAGAGGGGACGCACGAGCAGACCACAACACACACGGAAAAGACCTGGAGGCGTGAGTGGGCATCAAGCTCAATGCAAGTCAACACTAGTGGTGGGCCACACATTTACATGGAAAAGGCACGTGATGACGAAAGTGAGGCAGTGCTACTTCAGGGTGCCTATCGCCAGGAGCTGTGGGGAGGTACTGCCGTTCAGGCCCCCTCTGGAGCGCCGTGCCCAGCTCTGGACACCGCATTTTAGGAAGGACACAGAGTCTGAGGATGATAAGGACCTCGTGCTAGACTGTGCCCCGCTGCCTAAGGAACTGGGGACGTTCATCCTACAAAAGAGGAGATGGGGAGGATACAAAGAACAATGATCGATAAATAATCAAAAGGCTGTCATGTAGAAGACCCTCAGCCTTGTTCGATGTGGCCTCGTGGGCACAGAACCAGGAGTGAGGGACAGATGTTTCACAGGCAGATGCGGGCTCCAGAGAAGGGAAAACTTCCTCTGAGAGTTGTTCAGAAGTGCAGGGAATGAACAGCCTCAGGAAGATGTGAGTTTCTGCAAAAACTGACCACCAACATGTCAGGGATATTGTCTGGACTAGACAGCCTCGGAGAACTTCTGCTCAAATGATGAGGTGCTGCCCAGTCTCCGAAGGCCTTTGTGGAGAGGCAGCCGGGACTCAGCCAGAGGCTAGCACGCTTTTCAGAGCTAACTAGACAACCTTCCCGCTCGCTGGCCCGAGTGTCCAGGTCAGAACCTTTTTACTAGGCTGGATTTCTGTGGTCCAGCTCAGCTCTGAGCAGCAAGACCAGGAAACCAAAGAAGAAAGACTGTCGGTATGTGCTTCAGACATGGAGGTCAACACTGTAAACAAATTAGAGGTGCATGGAAGAAACTGCCTGTCAGTTCTATGGACAGAAGAGTTCGTGACCAATAAAAAGACAAGAAAGGGTCATAGGAGACAAAATGGACAATTCGATAACACAAAATTTAAAAGTTTTTACACACACAAAAACAACTGCAACTAAAACTAGAGGAAGGAAATTGGGGGGAAATCTTTGCAGCAAATTCTCTGATTAAGATGTCATTTATAACATTAAAAGCCATTCCCCAATTGATAAATGGTCAAAGGATATGAACACATTTTCAAAGGAGAAAATCCAATCAATAAACATATATTTTAAAAAACCGCTTCAAATCACTAATAGAGAAATGCAGATGAAAACCAATCTGAAGTACTACTTCACACCCATGAGAATGCCAAAGTTGACAACAAAGAAAATTACAAATGCTGAAAGGACTATGGGAAAACAGGTACATTAAGGCACTGTCGGTGGAATTATGAACTGCTCCAGCCATTCTGGAAGGCAACTACGCCCAAAAAGCTACTAAATTGTGCGTACCCTTTGACCTAGCAATACCGTTAACTGGTTTGTTCCCTAGAGATCAAAGGAGGAAAATGATCCATATATACAGAAAGATTGATAGTAGCTCTTCTAGTGACAGCAAAGAACTAGAAAGTGAATGGGTGCTCATCAAATGGAGGATCAACAAGCTATGGTGTGTGAATGTGATTCTGTAAAGAAATGATGAAGGGAATGCAATGGTTTCAGAGAAATCTAGGAAAACTTATTATGAAGAGATGCAAAGTAAAGTGAGCAGAGCCAAGAGAACCACTCATCTTAGGACATTCGCAGGTTGGCCCTTGATAATTAAGTGGGAATTCTTGGAGACTGGCAGCCTACCGTGGAAATCACAGATGAAACGTGTAGAGAAAATTTTCAAAAAATTTATTGTCATTAATTGCTATTCATCATTCATTAATATTAGTCATCTATTTTATTATTTACCACTACGAGTATACACACGTAAATTTATTATAAACAGTTAAACTTTGTTAAAAGTTTCAGTTGTGCTAAAAGAACTATGGGCTACGCATATGCACTCTCTTTGGGAATGCCCCCTCTTTGTCCCTCTACCATGCAGACTCAAGTCAGTGACTTTCTCCCATACTTTTCCTTGCTTTTTGATGGAGAAGGAAATCCACGAAGCAGTGACATCAGCGGCTAAGAAGACTCTGCATAGTGTGCAAGATACTAATCTCTCTCAAATAGAAAGTAAAAGATTTTTGTTGGTGCAGTGCATTGTTTTACTTGTTTTGTGTGTTCAATAAATGATCAGAATTATTGAAAATAAAGGTTTGGGAGGACGCCTGGAGTTATTCAGGGTTTTTCACTTTCACAGGGTCCTGTCCCCCCAACCCCAGTGAATGTCAAGGGATGACTGTACAATAATATATCATAAGGACCAAAAACACAGTGACCAACTAGTGCTCCCGAGGGCCTGTAACAAAACACGCCGCCCACTGCCTGACAGAGAGCTGACAGACCGGAGGACAGACTGAAGCAGATTTTTTTTTTGATATGGCCAGTGGGGGATTTGTTTTGCTTGATTGTATATGTTCGTAATGAGTTCTGGTTTTCTTCCATTCTTAATGGGGAGGAGGGTAGATGAGAAGGAGCTAAAATTAAATCAAATTTAAGAAAAAAAAAAGTAGTACTGAGAGCTTACATTAATATAATGCCTCATGACTGCAAAACCTTTTCATGAATATTATTTCATGTGATCTCAAAACAACCCTTCCAAGCCAGGTAGTATAAGTGTCATTATTTCCATTTTACAAATAAGGAAGCTAGTTTTCCCTTTCCTCAGGCTCCATTTCATCTGTCTGGTAACACTTTTAAACTCCCACAATCCCCTTTGCCTTCTTCTAGACTTCCAGATAAGGTTGTCTATACCCAAGGGCTCACTTTTTCATGACCCTCTTCCTTCAGCCCCTGGCTGTCGAGGTCCTATCCCTCACCCTCTCCTGAAACGGCTTTCTCAAAAATTCCCAATGAGCTCCTCATCACCAAATACGGGGGCCTTTTTTCAGTCTTCATTCTACAGGACTTCTTTGCAGCCTCCCCCTTCTGCTGGATGCTCTTTATTTCACTGGTTTCAGAGACACAGGTTTCCTCTCCCTCCTTATCTTCTTCCTGATTCCTTAACGTGAGTCTCCCCAGGGATCAGCCCTTGGGCCTCTTCTTCTTAACTCCCTCCTTCGGCAATCTCATTAGTCCTTGTGGTTTCAAATGTCAGACCTGCATCTCCACCTAGATGTCTCACCATTCACTTCGGGCTCCACATGACCCAAACCAGGCTCACTATCTTTCCCCTTATTTGTTGTTTCAGTCATGTCCAACTCTTCATGACTCCATTTGGGGTTTTCTTG